ATATTTGGGGGGGGGGGTCAGAAATCTGAAACCGTCGGGGGGAAAAAAAAGAGAGTAATCTGAGAGAGTACGTTTTTCCGCCTGATTTCGTAACATACAATATCGTTTGCGCTAATTATTTAGCTTTTTCGATTTCACCCCCTTGAACCATTGAGTCCTAGAAAATGAAGATCTGATCTTTAGATCAAAAGTTATTAGATTCAAGTTATTTAAAATGGTCTTCTTTTTCCTTTTTTGCACGGGAGGGCGCAATATACATCATTCTCAATTTCGCCATGGTATTTTTAATTCTTAGAAAGTAAAACATCAAAATTTAGACTTGCTATAATTACTAATGCCCTGAATACTTTACAGGATCTCCCCACGAAAGTTTTTTTTATTATTATTGCCAATTTACAACTTATCAACTCCTCTGTGAGCTTGTTAACTGAGGAGTTAAAATATTAAAAATGCCGTTCTCTAAAGTTCAACTTATGAAACTCAAGTTTATCTACATTCAGTATTAATCGGTCTGAAAATGCTACCATTAGTCTTGGCGAACTAAAGAAGTAAAAATTTACTACAACCAAAAAATTTTCTTTACTTATTTTGCTNGGGGGGGAGGGTCAGAAATCTGAAACCGTCGGGGGAAAAAAGAGAGTAATCTGAGAGAGTACGTTTATCCGCCTGATTTCATAACTTACAATATCGTTTGCGCTAATTATTTAGCTTTTTCGATTTCACCCCCTTGAGCCATTGAGTCCTAGAAAGTGAAGATCTGATCATTAGATCAAAAGTTATTAGATTCAAGTTATTTAAAATGGTCTTTTTTTCCTTTTTTGCACGGGAGGGCGCAATATACATCATTCTGAATTTTTTACAGATTTCGCCATGGTATTTTTAATTCTAAGAAAGTAAAACATCAAAATTTAGACTTGCTATAGTTACTAATGCCCTGAATACATTACAGGATCTCCCCACGAAAGTTTTTTTTATTTTTATTATTGCTAATTTACAGCTTATTAGCTCCTCTGTGAGTTTGTTAGTAACTGAGGAGTTAAAATATTAAAAATGCCGTTCTCAAAAGTTCAACTTATGAAACTCAAGTTTATCTACATTCAGTATCAATCGGTCTGAAAATGCTGCCATTAGTCTTGGCGAACTAAAGAAGTAAAAATTTACTACAACCAAAAAATTTTCTTCATTTATTTTGCTTTTTAGAATCAAGTCCGAACTTGATTGTAACTCATTACCTAAGTTTTGAGCTTTGTTTTATAAATTTTAGTTGATAATCAAAGTTTTTAGGAAGTGCTTATTTCAGAGTATTACTGATCAGGACCGAGTTTGCACTGAAGGATATGGATACCAAATACGAAAGTATCACATTGGGACCACTTCCATGTGGCCGTTGGCCACTCAAGTAATTCTTAGTAATAGGTAATAGTAATAGGTTCTTAGTAATAGTAATAGGTAGTAATAGTTTAAGTAGTAATAGGTTGGTTACGTAAATGAAGCCGACGGCCGTGATGAGAGAATCGCACGAAAACGTATATGTGATTACAGTACTGAAAGCAGGGTGCGTAGCCAAAATTTTCAACAAAAAATAAGCACTTTTCAAGCACTCAAAAAATATTTTCAAGCACTTTAAAAAATNGTAGTCGTAAACCCATGAAATTGGGTCGGCTGTTCAACGACGGTTATAAAATAAAATAGGTAATAGTAATAGGTTCTTAGTAATAGTAATAGGTAGTAATAGTTTAAGTAGTAATAGGTTGGTTACGTAAATGAAGCCGACGGCTGTGATGTGAGAAACGCACGAAAACGTATATGTGATTACAGTACTGAAGGCAGGGTGCGTAGCCAAAATTTTCAACAAAAAATAAGCACCTTTTAAGCACTTTTCAAACACTCAAAAAATATTGTCAAGCACTTTGAAAAATATCATAATTAGACAGGGTTGGCAATTGATGGTTTTATCCGGTTTTATTTACAGTGACGAAAACGATGGCGCTTCACAAACGATGCAATTAACAAGAGAAATGAAATTTTCTATCACTAATAGAGAAAAAAAAATGACAATGTTTAGTTGGTCCCAGTAATCAGCAAATATTCGAGAGATTTTTCGATTCTGTTACAGAGGGCTGAAATTGAGAATCTCTTGCAAAATGCAGCAGGGTAGCACATGAGAGTCAAAAATCATTACCACTGAATCCAGCTCAGTTCATTTACGTCGCACTAGAGCTGCACAATGGGCTATTGGCAATGAGCTCAGTATACGCAAGTGCGGACCCACAAGTATTTCATCAAACATGTAAAACAAATGGTGATTTCATACACTACAGACCGGCGGTATGCCGAAATAGATTGGGATTGAATTAATTGTGAAAACGTTGTGTAGGACAATGTCCTTTTGCATAATTTATGGCAAAAATCAACATGGTAAAGAAAAATATCACATTTCGGGAAAGGGAAAATTAAGCACTTTTTAAAAACATCCGTGGAAAAAAGCACTTTTAAGGGCTTTTAAAAAACGAAAATAAGCACCTTTAACAGGGTTCCGAAAAACCCACCTACCTAGTAAAACCCGGGCAGATTCTACTGGGTAAAACCCACCCTGAAAAACCCAGTAAAACCTACCCTAAAATGGGTTTTACTGGGTTTTTCTAAGATTGATTTCTTCTTTATCCTCTGTTATAAAAGAGCTATTCTATTGAAATATATATGTAGTCTAGCCTAAAAAAATTAACTTATGGTGAAAAAACTAACTATGTTGGAGACTGGAGAATCACCTTGATGGCTAGATTTGACTGTATGGCTATTGATTAGTCAAAGCCTTTGATTCGGTTTCTATGAAAATAAAAGATTTTCCTCAAGTATTTTTTACGACTAAAATACAAATAAAAAGTAATCCTGCGTTAAAATAAGTTTCATAAAATACAAATAAAAAGTGATCCTGTGTTAAAATAAGTTTCCTAAAATACAAATAAAAAGTAATCCTGTGTTAAAATAAGTTTCCTAAAATACAAATAAAAAGTAATCCTGTGTTAAAATAAGTTTCCTAAAATACAAATAAAAAGTAATCCTGTATTAAAATAAGTTTCCTAAAATACAAATAAAAAGTAATCCTGTGTTAAAATATGTTTCAAATGTGTGATGTGAGTACATATAACATTTTGTATCGTGATGTCAGCAGAAACTTTTTTCAGACTTTTGCAACAATTTATTTGTATTAATTACCTATAGATTAAGTAATTTTATAAAATTAAACTTAATTATTAATATTAAAATAGGCTTTTTTAAAATAAAGTACTTATCCCTGCCCTCTCTTTTGAAAAAAATCTCCAGTAAAACATGAAAAACCCAGAAAAACCAAAAAGAACCCAGAAAGCTCAATAAAGCCCAGAAAAACCCACCAGGGTTGGGGTTTTCTAGAAAAACCCAGGTTTTTTGCAACTCTGACCTTTAAGCACTTTTTAAAAACCCTACGCACCCTGGAAGGGGTTATACATTTACAATCCCGGCTGTGCATGTGAGGTTAAAAAGTACATGCCTAATCGGAATTTTGACATGTCCTGGATTGTTCTGCAGTATCATTTTCGACCCCTGGTTTAATCATCCAAAAGTGTCCCGTGTTTAAAACGGTTGAGAAGCTTTAACTTCAGTAATTGTTACTGAAAATGTAAAACTGACAAAAGAGGAGCCAGTGGCCTGTAAAGAAAACACAAATGACCTCAAAATAGTCTTTACTTTGGGGCTCTATCAAGTCACTCTCCCACCCAAAGAAGAAAAAAAAGGTTCCACAATTTATTGATTTTTAAACCTCCCTTTTGTGTGTACAGCTGGTCTTCTGGGGCCTACAATTTCTTTTGTTTCAACATTATCTTAACTGTTAAAAGCTTAGTTACTTTTGTTCGTTTTCTTCGTGCAGACGATTATTTTTTTCTCTCTTTTAAATGAAGGGAAGAAGTAAAAAAAACTTTTTTCTGAATCTGTAGGAGGTATTTGTTTTCTCTGCCGAGTGTCGAGAGATTTACATGGCCGGTGATTTTTTGAAAGAAGAATTTAGTTCAACTTTGAGTAAACAATAAAGTAAAAGATGCTGGTGTAATTGATGGATTTGCGTTGCCATTTTAGATGGGGGGAAAAATAAATGACGGCTACAGTTATAAGGATGGAAAATAAACCGAACGACTGGGTATTTGTTTTTTAATGTCATTTTACGAGTGCTAAAAAAATGCTACTCATTATAAAAGAAGACATGATATAACTTTTTCGTGCTTCATTTTCAAAACTGATAAAAGAGTTTTTATAAAAAATAAAAAAAATATTCTGTGAAGAAAGTGGACGGTTAAATCAACAAAATTCAAAACAGTTGTATATGTTCAGCAAATTTTATTAATGAAAATCGTTTTCTGAACTGTATCTATAACAATAATAATAAAATGAAGAGTTTTTCTGTGTGTGTGTGTCTCTCTCTCTTATAACTCCAAAACCCGTTCTTCCTCCATCCTGAAATTTGCAACAGTGTGTGCAAAGAGACAATTTAGCCTCCGATCCAAACATTTGTTCCAAATTTTCAATTTGTTCGTTAGGTAGAGCCATATGAAAAATTTAGTTTATTCATTGATTTAGAACTTTTGCTATTGATAAAAATGACACTTGCAGACGATTTTCTTTCCTTCAAATACTTTAAAGATTATATCAGTGATGTTTGCTAGCTTATAGCTCTCATTGAAATACGGAGTTGCTTTTTTTTTTGCACGTTCTTTAATATTTAATTATTATTTATTCGCTATGTCGGATAAACTCAATAATTAGCATTGGCAGATTACGTCACCAAATAAGCATTTCTATAGATATTTGTGTGTTTTTGTGTAAAAAGTGTTTGTTTTTTTAATAGTTATGCTTTTAAAGAGTGAATCTATAAATTATGAATTTATGGCAGTAAATGGGAATTAGCAACTTGAGAAGAAGTGAATTATGCCTAACCACGTAATTTAAAATCACATATAATAGGATACCTGCAAGTGATGTAGTGTGGGTATCTCACTCCTGATTGGTTGTTGAAACATTGCATTTGTTTTCGTTTGTTACATTCTATTTCGAGTAAGCCAAGCCGCAGCATCAATTCTCTTAAGTGACACATACTATATTCTTTCACGAAGATTCCTTTACAAAGATTTCAATTCTTTCACTTTATATTTCTAATTTAACACAAAGACCGGAAGAAGCCCTGTAGGACATAAACAAACTAATTATGCATGGAAGTTGCCAGGTACACAAAACAAAAACATAACACGGTTACAATAAAATACATAAACAAATATTAAATCTAAGTTAAGTAAAAGATGTAAACTAGAAAGAATTATATTTCAACATATTCAATGTGCGATACGGCACAGTATTTAATTAACTTCACTTTAATTAACATTCTAACTTATCTGGAGAAGTTTAGCTCAACTTTAACACGCCATTTTCCTTACAAAATGCGCGTAAGTTCCATCAAAAAAATCCTCCACCAAGGCAAATTTTTCCCAATACTTGATCCAGGAGTTTTCTTGTCTTCTGGATTGGGTTCAAAATTCAACAAAGGAGTTGAACATTAGTAATCGTAAACTCAAAGTTGGGACGGCTGTTCAACTTCGGTTAGAAAATAAAATGATCAGGTGGCACTGGCGTCGTAGGTGTGGGTATATGTGATCCTCTTCTTTAAGTGCAAGCACCCATTTGAATACCAGTTAGCCGAATGGCTTCTGATTCAACAAATGCCACGATTTACCTACTATGACGTCAATTGCATGTATCCAATTGAAATAAAAAGTTATAAGTTGTGTACTAAAAAGCAAAATTATCAGTGAAGCGTAAAAAACCACTCTTATGGACGAAACTGATGCTTGCTTTGTAATTAGCTACTATTTTAATTTTTTTAAAAAATAGCCATGTTCTAGATCAGGGGTTTCCAACTTACATGAAGCGGGGGCCACAATTAAAAACACAAATCAAATGGCGGGCCGCAACTTTATCAAAATTTTATATAGGACTCTTTTATGTTCGAAGGAACATTAAATATAACTGTCAGACTTTTACCAAGTTGTACAAATTAAAATAAGAAGTAGATTTTTAAAAATATTTAATTGTTATTAATAATATTTTTATAAATATCAAATACATATTAAAAATTCAGCCTTTAATAACTTTAATGTGCACTTATGTATTAAACAATAAATGTGCAACAGATATCTAATTGTTAAGATATAAAACTTTAAATAAGGTTGATATTAAAACTTACATAGTAGCACACAAAATGTTCAGTGACAAAATTGAGGTTTGTCTGCTGCAACCACCACAGAATAGATATTTACATATTAAATTTAAAATTTACAAATGTGTGTGTAAATATTTTCATCCAAAATGAGTGGTTTCAAAAAGTTAAATCGGAGAATTTCTTAGAGAAAAATTTTGATACACACTTGCTAAATTATATTCACAAAATACAAAAAAAAGAAATAAAAAAGAGCAACATACACGATTATTTTTGTATTTGAATAAATATTTTCTTGGATGCAAAACCTGAGAAATAATTTTTTTTCACCGCTGATAAATTAAATTTCACAGAAACGAAGAAATTAGGTTTTAATTAACGAGAAAAGTATTTTAAACCCATATAGATTTTTTACGAAAATTGTCCGCACAAAAATGACAACTAAAATATTTTAGTTCGCGGGCCACAAAAAAAGGCTTCGCGGGTCGGATGCGACCCCCGGGCCGCCAGTTGGAAACCCCTGTTCTAGATAGCAAAAATAATGCAGAAAAGGTTCTTACTCTCTTAGGGGAACTATGAAAAACTGTCATTTTATCATTGACTCCAATGAGGCTTAATTAATTTTGTTAAAAATTGAAATAAAAAATAAGCTGTGTGCTAAGAAGAAAACTTAATGGAGAAATAGTACCTATTCCTTTAAGAGTAGCGTATAAACCAAACTATTATAGATGCCAATGAAACTTAATTTTGATAATAAGAACTAATTTTATTATTTTATTATATTTTATTACCGTCGTCGAACAGTAGGCAAAATTTTCAGTTTACGACTGAATTTTTTTCTGTTTTCTGAACCGAGTCCAGAAGACAAGGAAACTCCTGGATCAAGTATTGGAAGAAATTTGCCTTTGATGGGGGACGTTTTGATGGAACTAACCCGCATTTTCGTTAAATGGAGAGGAAAACTACGAAAACCTCCCACGGTTAGACTGACGTCAAGGGGACTCTAAACCCATGATCCGTCAACCACTGAGGATATTTCACGTCAACACTGTGGTCGGTGCAAGCTGGAGGAGGAATTCGTATCGACCAGCCATCGCCGGGATCGAACCCCGGTTCACCTCATTAGAAGGCGAACGCTCTATCCCCTGAGCCATCGCCGCTCTCTGAAATTTTCTGGGGATATTCGAGATTATGTCAGTTGTATACTGAGTTAATGTTTTAGCGTTAACGGGAATACTTTTCAAGTTATGAAAGATCTTCGCTCTAAAATGCTGAAACTTTTTTTAAAAAATTAAAAGTTCTAAGTTCATAATTTTTTAAGACAATTCTGCCGAAGATTCTGCATTAACAGTTATCACAGTGTAAACATGTAAATATACTGTGAAAAAATAACTGAAGCAATATCTTGTGTAGATGACGAGAAAAGGTTAATCGGAAAAGGTCAGTTTTCGCATTATTGGTATAAGCCCTACCGATTCCCCTTAAGATCGGAAGAAGAAAATAAGGTGAAATGATGCCTCTTTCACTTTTCTCTATGTATACGAAGCATAAATAAAACCGCCTTCCATTTTGCTTTTCTTGTATAATTTCACTCATTTAAGCAGTAAGGAAAAAAAAAAAATTCCCTCAAAATATAATTTTTTTTTCGCTATAGAGCAGGGGTTTCCAACTGGCGGCCCGGGGGCCGCATCCGGCCCGCGAAGCCTTTTTTCGTGGCCCGCGAACTTAAATATATTAGTTGTCATTTTTTTACGGACAATTTTTGTAAAAAATCTATATGGGTTTAAAATACTTTTCTTTCGTTCATAAAAACCTAATTTCTTCGTTTCTGTGAAATTTAACATACCAACGGTGCAAAGAATTTTATTTTTCAGGTTTTGCATCCAAGAAAATATTTATTTAAATACAAAAATAATCGTGTATGTTGCTCTTTCTTATTTCTTTTTTTTTTTTTGTTAATATAACTTAGCATGTGCGTATCAGAAATTTTCTCAAAGAAATTCTCATATTTAACTTTTTGAAACCACTCATTTTGGACTAAAATATTTTCACACACATTTGTAAATTTTAAATTTAAATATCTATTCTCCGGTGGTTGCAGCAGACAAACCTCAATTTTCTCATTAAATATTTTGTGTGCTACTATGTAAGTTTTAATACCTTAACAATTAGATATCTGTTGCACATTAATTGTTTAATACATGGTGCACATTAGGTTATTGTAGCCCGAATTTTTATTATTTATTTAATATTTTTTTAAAATATTATTAATAACAAATAAATATTTTTAAAAATCCACTTCTTATTTTAATTTGTAATTCAATACTTTTGTTTCGTACAACTTAAAAAAACTCTGACAGTAATATTTAATGTTCCTTCAAACATAAAAAGATTCCTACAAAAAATTTTGATAAAGTTGCGGCCCGCCACATGATTTGTGCTTTTAATTGTGGCCCCCGGCCTCATGCAAGTTGGAAACCCCTAATATAGAGGAAGGCAAATGATTAACTTATTTTAAACATACACTTCTCTACCATAGAACAGAAAGACGGTTCGAAACGAACTAAGTTTTCAAGTTCCCCTAAGTTTAAATTCCATATGTAGAAAATAAATATTTCTATATTTACAAACATCGTGTGCACTTTCTTATTGATGTTAAATGATAATTTTTTTTGTAATTAAATAATTGATCAATTTATATTTATTCATAAAATTAATTAATAGAATATTATGTAAATAAAAATTAATTTCTGGCAATTTTTTAAATTAAAATATAATAAACTTAAGAATTGTTTAAATTTACTTAATGCGCAACACATTAAAAGTGATACATAATTCAGTTGTGTTATTTAAAATGTGTCAATTGAAATTATTAAAAACATGAGTGATTTTGTTTCCATTATTCGCCCGAAATGAATATTCTGCGTTGAGCAGTATAGGCTAAATACCAAATATTTGTATGTTGCATCTCTAATTCAGTAGTAGCAATTGTTCAGCAGAAACTTGTATCTATTTACAATGTAAAAACTTCTTGAGAAGGTTTTTAGCAATTTTTGCAATAACAGGACCCTATATGCACAAATTCACAAAAGCAGGACCCTGATTGAAAGAATGTGATTTAACGCTTATTTCATATTCACAAATTATGAGTAGTTTTTTCACAATTTTACCAAAACAGGACCTTTCACAAAATGTCTGGACAGATCCCTGATAGTGAACATCTCGTTTTATCAAGCTTTTATTAAGATATTGTTATTATATGTTCATATGTAATTAATGTTAATAACATGCTTCGAAATTTCCTTCCGGAATGCAAAATGTTACTGTTTCAATCGAAAGTAATTCAGAGTAATTCAATTACATTACACATACATCAAAAATTTCAAAACCAGCTTAAAAATATTTGTTACTCCATTTGATGTTACTACAAACAAATAAACTATAAAAATAACAACATTCCAGGAAAACTTCCGTGTAATTTAAGTTAGTTGCGAATTGATTCAATAACTGTGACCTTGAACATTCCCTATTGCAAAACAATGATTGTGTGGAGCGTTATGTTAGTCAAAATTTGTCACTTAGGATTTAAATTATGTTGATTTAAGTAAATAGAAATCCAACGTGATTACAAACTTACGCTGAATTCGATTCCGGAATTTCTTTCAGTAATAGTTACTGCGTAGTCAAATAAATTTCATTTTAACTGGAACAAATTGTTTTCGAAGAGATTGCTTTAAATTCTTTGTTTGCAAAACACGATTTTCGTGCTAATTAAATTGAGCAATG